ATGGGAAAAACTCATGTAGGAGTGGCTTTGTTTCAAAAAAGGTGAAATGTTGATTGATCACAAACCTTGTTCTGGACATCCGTCAACTCCCTAACAGACAAAAATGTTGAAAAAAATTGTGCACTACACCACCAGGGCTCCTTAAGGAAAACTACCAAACCAGACTCCCAGCTCACTGCCGTTGAATCAACACTGACTCATAGCAACCCCGTGAGTTTCAGAGACTGTAACTGTTTACAAGAGTAGAAAGCCCAGTCTTTCCCCGAAGAGCTGCTGGTGGTAGTTTTGAACTGCCAACCATAGGATTGCAGCCCAACACATAATAACTACACCACCGAGCTCAGCAACTGGTAAATTCTAAATGAACAGCCAGTCCTTCTATTGTCCTTTATGTAAAACAGTTAGGGAAGTCTACTGATTGATTTTCAGCTCAGTTCATCATAAATTTCATGACCAGTATGCTACATGAATTCCTTATGTTTACGAGGCAAAATTCCCTTCCACCAAACCCATACCTGAGAGCTTGGCTTGCAGTTTGGAGAGTTGGCCCCTGAAGAGATCTGCCTCTTTCAGGCTGTCAGTCAGCTGCAGCTGCAGCTCGGTTTCTTTCTTTTGGTGAACTGTCATTTTCAGCTGCAGATGAGAGACCTGTGCTGTGGCTGCTGCTAGCTCCTCTGTCACCTTGGCCTGAGCGGGAACAGGATATGATGCCATTCAAAACATGGGTATTCTGTCTCTAAATGGCACATCAACCTCATGTTAACTATGATGACTCAACTGGTAGAAAAAGAGCTGAAACCACCTTCAAACCTCACTGAACTGAAATCAAGCTGGGAGAATATACAAAGTCTAAGACTCAGGAATTCTCTTGAGGAAAGCTACCCTGGTAAATTATTATGTAAGAGTGTAAAGTTTCTGCTCTAAGAATGTCCACTGAAATATTACATATAGTTGCAAAAGAATTGGAAGATACAATCCTGGAAAACTAGCAAATTAGAACATATGCCGTTATTAAAAATGGGATGGTAAAAGTATGGTGCTTCCTTCCTGAATCAATTGCTGAAGAAAAATGTGAACATAAGCAAAGGTGGTGAAGAAAGCTGATGGTGCCTGGCTACCATAAGATATAGCATCCGGGGTCTTAAAGGCTTGAAGACATACAAGCGGCCATCTAGCTGAGAAGCATCAAAGCCCATATGGAAGAAGC